TTGCTATTTCCATGAATCGGTGAAATAGTTTACATTAAAGGGCCCTAATCTGTCAAAAGGCATTACTAAAACCTGCTCTTTTCCTATACGTATTTAACTGATAACAGTAGTTCAGAGATATTTGGATTTCTAAATAAATTTTACAGCCCCTGAATCTTGTTATTGTTTTCATTTCGATGTCCCGCCCTCCACCGTTTCACCAATCAGAAAGTCTGTGATCCGGGCGCCAGAACTCACCTAGTGGAGCTAATCTCACTGCAGTAACATGTGGCCGCAGAACTAAAAAGGTCTCGATATGATTCTCAAAACAAGGATTTGTTGTTGACAAAACGCTTGTCTATTTAGATACTATGGTCCCAGCTGGATTCGTCTGCATATCTGGCAACCTGAGTCAGAGAGAGTGCAGTACCACTATAGTCCAGATTTGTACATACTGCTCCTTTGAACCTTTTTGATGGGCTCCCAAACGATTCTCATTTATTTTTGTTAAATTCTTTGCATTGCTGGTGAGAGAGGACCACCTGAAGCACCCACAGGACCCTTCAAAAAAGTGTCAGGAATAATAGAATTAGCATTGCATTATACATACAAACTGGAATAATCACTAATAATAAAATACTAAGTTTTTTTTTGTCAACTTAAAAATAAAATAAAATCAATCCTATCTGACAGGTCTGGAACACATGGGAGCACTTATGGCAAAGTGATGTCACAAAGCAGCGTGTTCGACATTAAAAAACAAAGCGTTTTTTTCCCTGGGACTGGCCCCGCCCCTGACAGCCCTTACGCTAAGAGATACGCTACCATGGCATGTTATACCCTATTTTAAAGCTATTTTTAAGGATTTTTTTGTTGAACACATCAGAAATATCTCAGTCTAATCTTGGTTCTAGTCTAGATTTGGTTCAATCTAACCATAACAGAAACTACTGGAAAATAATGTTCAAACTCCTGCTAAATAAAAGTAATCCTTTGTCAAAATACCTCCATGATACAAAACACAAATAAGTATAAATATATTCCAAAATAATAATAACAAAATAATAACTTTCCACTAAGAAGGCGACAGATATGCAGCTATTTTTACATTTTAACTTTCGCGTTCATTTGGGCCCTCTGAGTGCAATAGTTTGGGCACCCCTGGACTGACTAATCTTGCCTCTGAGAATTGTGAAGGGAAAGTATGTATGCAAATTAGCTCTAACAAGGCAATTAAAGGGGACATGTTACGCAAAACAACTTTAACGAGAATTTAATAACGGTGTTCCATCATTGTTTGTTTTCTCAACGTTGCGTTTTGATTGGCTGAATGTTAAAGCCTTATCCTGCATTTGCGACTTGACAATTGGACTTGGGGTTTGACCATTCCTGATGTCACCCTCCACCTGTCCCCGCCCACATCCTGGGACAAAGAGATCTTTCGACGGTGATGGAGACAGGACGCTTTCAGAGCCGCTCAGATCGTTCAGTTACTTTGATTATGACCTTATTTGATACTCACTGTTATGGTGTGGATTTTATTTTTGTATTTTTGTTTTATTTTGACATCTTATCTGTGAATTAGTTTTAGCTTGACTTCCTGTCCTGTTTCCCCTGTCTTGATTGTTTGCCCTGCCCTGATGTGTTTCACCTGTGTCTGTGTCTATTTGTACCCTGCGCTCCTCTCCCCTTGTGCTGGTCCATTGTCTTGTCAACGTCCTGTCTTGTCTTGTTCATGTCCTTGTCTGTTCTGTTTTGTTCCGTTCCTGGTTCCCTGTGGTTTTGGATTTTTGAGTATATTTTCATCTACCATTTAGTTTTTTCATCATTAAATTATTTTTATTTTGGCATTTCCTGCATTTTGAGTCCTTCATTCGCCTCCCCCCATGACAGAATGGACCAGCCAACAAGAGGACTCAGCGGAATGCCGTTTACCACACACCTGCTCCCTGTTCATCACAACCTGTAAGATTTTTATTCTTTCACAATCTCATCACTGCCAACCTCTCAACCCGTTACCTGGTACCACCGCCAGACAAGTACCTCAGTCTGGGGTGGTGTTCCCTCCGTACCACCGCCGGGCACTTGTCTCCGCCCGGGGTGGTCCTCTGTCCCCCCCTGACCTGTTGAGAGGTCTACAGTGACGTTCTGCTCTTGCCTGGATGGTTTATGTCTGCTTGGATTTCCTCGCCTGTGTCTGCTGCTGCACTTCGATGACCTCTCCTACCCTTCTCCTGTTTCCACCGCCAGACATGGTTCTCCGTCTGGGGTGGTTCTGTCCTGTCTGAGTCACCGCCGGGCATTTGTGTCCGTCCGGGGTGAGCCAGTTCCCTGATGGAAGGTCACCGCTGGGCTTCAGCCTCTGCCCCTAGTTTGGACTCTGCCTGGGACCTGAGGTTTATGCAGCCTCTAAGCTGCCTCTGGTCCCTCCGCCGGACCCCCTCCGCCCTCCCTGGCTTGCTTTTCTTGGGACATCTGGGAGCTGTCCCTTGGAAGGGGGTACTGTTATGGTGTGGATTTTATATTTGTATTTTTGTTTTATTTTGACATCTTATCTGTGAATTAGTTTTAGCTTGACTTCCTGTCCTGTTTCCCCTGTCTTGATTGTTTGCCCTGCCCTGATGTGTTTCACCTGTGTCTGTGTCTATTTGTACCCTGCGCTCCTCTCCCCTTGTGCTGGTCCATTGTCTTGTCAACGTCCTGTCTTGTCTTGTACACATATAGTACACGCAAGTAAATAACCTCGTAATATATACTGTATATAATTTGATCTTTTGTCTTTCCTCTCTCCTTTTGCGCTGATCTGTTATTCTCAAAGGATTATACGGCATTGATTGCTCTCTACGTTTGCAGAATAAAAATAAAAAAGGTGTTCTTTTTCAAATCGATGAACCGCAAAACAAACCAATGCTTTACTTTGGCTTCTGCAGTATGGATACAATAAAACATAAAAAACACATTTTACTGTAAACCAGTTTTAAGAATGAAAATTGGGGTTAGGAAGTTTTATTATAACTTGTGTCTCAAACAAAATTGTATCTTTTGTAGCTGTAAATTAGCATCGAGCTAACCAGGTACAATGCATCGCTCCTATTGGCTCATGCTTCTTGTACACTGTCCTTGTAAAAATAAAAATGTTAATAAACTTGACATATTTACAAGATGCAGGACTTTTTCTTTAGTTTTTAGGACTAAAAATGTGTGTCTTTCTGAGCTATAGTGAGATATCTGCTTCACATTATGGGCTCCTTTGAACTACACGTTGTGGAAAGAAGTCTGGTGGCATTAAACGCTACACAAAAAGCCTGACAACACAAATTGCCACAGAGAATGACGTAGATTGAGTTTGTCGCGTGGATTAAACAGCGTTGTGGTTTGAAGGCTCCGTCTCGTGTCCAAAGTGTGTGTTCAGCGAGGTTAGGGATGCACTCTGCGTCTGAATCAGCAGCTGCAGATCCTGCTCTAAACCTCAGACACACGGTGAAACTAATCAACTAGCCTCCACATTCTCACATCACCGCTTCACCACACACTAAGAGAAAATATGACGATCCAAAATTAATAATAAAATACTGTCATTACTGTCATAAATTACTGTCATTCCAATTTTAGTGTTTTGTCCTGAAAGTATGACATGCATTGCTTATGTGGCGTAGCCTGGTCTTACCATACCATTGTACTCACTTCATTTCGTACTAAGGTCTGGATTAAGGTCCGTTAACAGGTGGGGAGGGCTAACTCCTTTTACAGATTGAAATGATTTGATTTGAGTTACCGTAACGTATGCAACGCGCCCGAGTCAGTGAGGTATTTAGCATGTAGTCTAGCTTTAGCCATCTCCTTTGCCACTAACAGAGTCTGTGGGGAGTAGAGCCACAATATCTTGGCCAGAAATTAAATTAGCCAAATATTCTTCTTGCTCCGGCTTCAAGTTCTTGATATTTGGAGCCGAACCAGAGCCGATTACTTTACTATCGCATTCACCGAAAAACTACAACCAGCAAATTTGGCGCAAACTCTTGACATCACCGACACCGACCTACAACACCCGCCTCCCCCGCGCTCTGATTGGTCGGAAGGGATTCAACCGAGGAAACTGCAGCCACTAGGATCAGACCCAGATGTGTAGGGAAATAATAATCTACTGAAGTTTATGGATGGCTAATGCTAGGCTCTATGTGTCGTGCTATTGTGATGCAAACTCGCTCCAACATTAGAGAGTTGAGGAAACGGCCGTGAACAACTAGAATGAAAAATAATTGTTATCGCATTATCAAGACGTTTTATGAAAATCTACTATTTACAACGTTGTTCCTCATCAGTCACAGACCTGGAGTTGTTTTACGATCCATCCACGCTATCATCAGAATGATTTTGAGTGGAAGTCGGACACATTTCTTTTGTCCGAGATCACATGAAAGCAGCATTAGCAACATTCGGGGGTTGCCTCGGCTCCATCTCACTTTGAATTCATGTTATCACTCTTTTCATTAGTGTGTGTTGTTTATTTTAAAGTTACTGAACTTTGTCTAACTCATTACCGCCACTACTTCTGCAGCCGTACTGTTGCATTGATTAAAGCAGCAATTGCTTCTTGCATTTCAATAGCAACGCTGCCTAAATTATTCACCCATAACCAATTACTACATCCACTTCCAGCGTCTTTCTATTGTGATGCACGAGAGCACTTTACAATGTTCAAAGATGTACCCAAACTTCTGTTATAAGAGAAAAGTGTACATCCAGCGTTGTTGTTTGACCCTGATAATGAAGTAGAGACCTGCAAAGCTTTGGTACAGTTAGGTAACAGTACTATTGTTTGCTCTCGGCGTAAACAAAGAGGCTGAAGGACGCTCTGAGCATCGGTCTGGACAGCAGCGGGGACTAGACGCCACAGCAAGGTCAGCTCTGTGTTGGCTTCAAGAGGCTCAATTATGACGTTGAAACAGAACTAACAAAAACAAGTGCCAAATATTATGTCTTGTTATAGAGATATAGACACTGCTCCAGCTCAGGGGTCAATGCTCTCCCAGGGGTCAATGCTCTCCCAGGGGTCAATGCTCTCCCAGGGGTCAATGCTCTCCCAGGGGTCAATGCTCTCCCTGGGGTCAATGCTCTCCCAGGGGTCCCCTGTTTCCATCGACAAGTGGTCAGCTCAGTAGACTAGGGTCCGTCCATCATACAACCTGAAAAAGAAAATCTTTGTGATGTGATTGAATTAACAACAACTTGAAGAGTGCAATAAACAGTAAATAATCATAATTCTTAATACTTACTATTCTACAATTCTAGTATAAAAACAAAAAATAAGTTGCAAGAAATTTGCATTAAAACAAGATTTTCCAGCTTGTCTGTCCATTGTCAAGGTGATGGTGATAATGGTTGTCATGGTAACAGATGCCAAGGTAATTGTTCCCATAGTAACGGTTACCATGGTTGGTATAGTAACAGTTGCCATTGCAACAATTGCCATGGTAATGGTTGCCATAGTGATTGACATAGCAACAGTTGCCATAGTGACGGTTGCCATGCTAACAGTTGCCATTGTGATAGCCATAGTAACAGTTGCATGGTGATGCTTGCCATGGTAAATGTTTCTGTAGAGACGGTTGCCAGGGTAACAATTGCCATAATGATTTGCATAGCAACAGTACATTGAAAAGTAAACTAGGCCTTAAAATCTATGGTTTAGTGCTCTCCATTATATGTTTGTATGTTTATATTTTCTTCCAGACACTGATTCACACATGAGCCATAATTGACCAATCAGATTCCTTCATTTGCAGGGGAACTCTTGCTCACCTTAGCAACCCTCTTAGCAACACATCTGCTCCTGTAATGGCGCAAAGCTAACACTGTCGGAAAACAAATGTCTGAGGAAATTGGTTCCAGAATTTGGCGGACACTTTGGTGACGTCAGCTCTCATTCCACTGCTAATATATGTCTATGCTTGTTATGTTGAAAATGTTTGTATTACTATTAATCTCGAATAGCTTTTACAGTAAAAGAGATGCAGTTACTAAATTCTCAGACAATAACGAGGACTATGATTGTATTTGGTGACTGCACCTCTTTGATCGTGAAATGAAAGAGTTTAGTAGTTAGATATAATCATTATACAGAGTCTGTGAAAGGTGCTGACGTTACCAGGAGAAATTTTTGTTTATATTCCTGCACCTCTGCTTTCCTGCCGTAAAACAAAAATAGAGAAGACACAGCTTGACTTTGTTCATGTATGTGCGTGTTCTGCCTTCAAAATCTGGAGCGAAGACACTTCTGAGGTTCAGGAGACATGTCAAAAGATATTTCTGTTGATGTTGAGTCATTTATAGAATCTGTTTAAACGATGAGTCAATTAGATGTATGTCTCTCTGAACAAAAAGCCATTATTGTGATCTCATCTGACAGAAGTAGGGCTGCTGATCGGTAAGGCCTATTGCCAACTCTAATCACGAACAGAGCTGTATTTGCTACATACATTTTTCTACATCCTCTGAGATCCGAGCCTATAATTGGCCGATGACACGCTCCAAACCGAGATGACCCATTTTTGCCGCACTTTTCAATTAGCGTTACTGTACTAAATTATTCTGCTGATGAATTTATCTGGCTCTGTCAAATGTTGTTAGAGTCTGCAACGTTGTCAGAGGTGACAACGTGAGATGCATTTTTAGATTCGGACTCTTCCTCCTTGAGGCACAATGAGAGTTGATGTAATGAAGCACATGGTCAGTCAATGCAAGAGCAGTTTATTGATTGCAAAGGTTGGTCTCACGCTTCACGGTCCTCCGCCGGGAAAAGGCCAAAGGGTCCTTCATATTAGCTTTACCTTTGAGCACTGACTTTCATGGCAGACTCTAGACATGTTCACACAGGGTCGACCGTTTTAAGATCCGGAGAACACGGAAAAGTAGTAAAAAGGTTGTGCTAATTTGATCTTTTCCATTCGAGGTTGTTAAAGAAGACACACAGCCTGCCCATTGCTTTGTCAGCTTTAAGAGGTTAGAATTTGGGTCAAGAACTATTTCAAAAAACTTTACAGAGAAGATATACAAAAAAGCAGAGGATAGTTGTGCCAAAACGCCTGTGTCCCATCGAGGAAACAAAAATCCACAACCAAAGAAAAGTGGGCATAAAAAACACCTTTGAAAGGATTAAAGAGAAGGGAGAATACTGATCGCTCATTGATAGCGATAGACTCTTACTCAAGAACTTAGATCTACAGAATCTATAGAGACACACAACCACAAAAGAATATTTTGTTGAAATCCAACCTAAAACTAGTTGATGTCATGGGCTTTTCTTCAATGGTTTATGTTCCTCTCCAGTTAATCCATTCTTCAAAGAGTCCGTGTTCCACAGCTTTATCCTGTAACGTTTGTCCACAATAGCCGACTACTTTAATGCAACTCCTGAATAAAACATTGACCTTCTGCGTAGGTCTTCCAAGCCTTTTTTTTTACGGTTTTCTTCCACGCCTCAAATCCCCCATATGGATAAACGGGATTTAAGCTGAAAAATCAATAAGACGTGGTTCTGCCAGGAATGCTTTCAAAGACCACTCTTGCAGAACATTCTGATCGTGCTGTGTATGCACCCTTTTCATCTCCAGAGAAAAATATTATACCTTTTGTACCATTCCTGAGAACCGTTCCCACAACTCGATCAATTTACACTCATTTTGTCTGATATCTGCGCCGCCAGCAGGAATAAAGAATGAGCCGGTGAACATAATTTAATGTTCACCTTTCTCGTGCTGAATAACCTGAACATGTTCCGTCGAGGGCGTTTACAAAGCAGAAGTTTACGGAGTACGTTCAAAAGGCAATCTCACCTTCGTTGGATGATCCAGACATGTCGACCCGGTGCACGCTGCAGAGAAGCTGCTCAAGGCTCCAGACCTTAGGACGCTTTCAAAGGTTATTACTCAAACTTTGTAATTGTAATTAAAAGGGCTAGCATACATTATCTTTAATTTGGCCGTTTTCCCACACATTCATTTCCATAATGTTCTTAAAAGCAAAAAAAAAGCTGGGAAGAGCCTGAATTATACTTCCAAAGACTTTGCGCTCTGGACCTTTTGGCGACATCAATGAAACATGGTCACATCAATGGCGGACATTTCACGCAAAAAGGCCTGTATAAATATCTAGGAAAGTAAATGGATGAGCAAAGTAAAAAACAAGAGGCGTGGCTTGGATTCATAACTCAAAATCATCTTTCTAAAACCAATTCGAAGCGACAAGCAAAAACAACTTCGAACTGTGAAAACTCGAACTTGCATGTGATGTCCCCTTGAAAAGCTCATATTTGCATAACCAGTGCATTGCCGTAGGATGTGTATTCCTGCTGTGGAAGCTTAAGCGGAGGTTTAGATGATGGCCAAATGAGGATGTGTTTGAAGGTTGGATGTTCAAAGAGGTGCAGTGTTATTGAGCCCAGAGCTGCTCTAATACAGAGTTAGGCGAGTGGAACGGTTCAGACTTCTGCTCGGTTCTCATTACTATGCAAAATAATGGACATTTTCTTTTAAACGTTTCTCATTTTAGTTCCCAAGATTCCTCAAACACGGAGCGGTTTTATCGACTCATGGTGAAAAGGAGGGTTGCACTGATATGATACTGGCCTTGGATAGATGTCTGTGCTGTTATTGGACATGTATCGTATCAGGAGATGTCTTGTGGGCCGTTATTATGATGTAAAAAGTCTATTTACTGGTTGATGTTAGCCCAGAATGTCATCTACAATAGGTTTAACTTTGACTCAGACGGTTCGGTCTTTGCTTACAGGATTAACAGAAGTCTTAAAGCACAATTTGAGATATTTGTTATAAGTTAGCTGTGATTTAAGGAGACATAAATGCTATGTGCAGTTGGGTGGCACAGTGGCGCAGTGGTTAGCGCTTGTGCTTCAGAGGTTCAATTCTAAATCCAGGCCGTGCACGTTATCCCCATGTCTGCTTAGGTTTCCTCTACCACTAAAAACATGTACATTAGGTCTTGCTCCCATCTCTGTGTGCGCTTTGTGACTCTGGTCTGTATCAAGTATTGGCAGATATTGAAGCCAAAGAATCGGGATCGGTATCAGACCTGAAACAGCTGGATCGGTGCATGCCTAGTGAAAACATACGGCCACAATCCCCATCTCCGGCAGTCAGTCCTGCTTTAGTCCTAAGGTTTCTCTGGGATAAAGATAGAGAGTTCCACTTCTCTCTCTAACCTGCTCATGAACCGTGTGTCGGGAAACTCACTGATTGGTTTTCTGACGCGCACAGACAGACATTCCTTGCTTTATTACATGACATCTGTCCCTAAAAGAGCGATCATCTTAAGCTGTACACTGGTGCGGCGTCCATTCCCAGCTCACAGATTTGTCCTGACAGATAATAACGGCAGATATTGTGTTGGTGTCAGGCTGAGAAGGAGATGGATTCTTCATGTGGACAGACCATACGTCACTGTCACAGCCACAGACCTGCTGCTGCGTCGCACTTACAGATGATCCGGTCGTTCATGTAGATTTCCATGTGAGGCTGGCAAAAGGAGAGGTTGTTCTCGTTGGAAGAGTGAAAAGATGTGTCCTAAAAGTTTATGAAAGCTGTCATATTTGTTTTGATATTACTGAGATCCACCATTTCTAAAATTAGCCGTAATTTTAGTTCAAGAGAGATGAGTGCTGCAGTGGGTCTAACTTTGTCAGGTGCTCGATCGCAGTGGAGAAACACTGGAGGCTTGAAGAGAGGAGAAAAAAATCCAAGGCACTCTTGACAATAAGATATTTAATGAACAGGGATTTTTCAAAGCTCTTCGCCCACGTATAGAGCCTTCTTCAGGGCATGTGAACCAAGACTGGTCCACCTGACCTCGTGAATTTAAGTAAGTAAGTAAGTTAGTAAGTAAGTAAGTTTTTATTTATATACCGCCTTTTCACTGCAGATGTGAGTCTCAAAGCGGTTTACAATTGTTAATTTTTTGGGCATTTGTCTCTCACTCCACACAGAGATGGGAGCGGGGTCGCCAGTACAGGAAGCGCATGCCAGAACTATTGGACATATTTTTAGTGGTAGGGGAAACCGGAGTACCCGGAGGAAACCTACGCAGACACGGGGAGAACATGCAAACTCCACTCAGAAAGGCCCTGGTCCGACCGGGATTTAAACCCAGGACCTTCTTGCTGAGAGGCGAGAGTGCTATCCACTCAGCCACCGTGCCCCCCATAAGACATTGTCATTGACTAGAATACATCCAGAACTCCACCGCCCGCCTGCTCACCCACACCCGCTCCAGAGACCACATCACCCCTGTCCTCAAACAACTCCACTGGCTCCCTGTCCCATATCACATCCAATACAAGGTCCTCCTCCTCACCTACAAGTCCCTCCATAACCTGCCCCCTCTTATCTCGCTGACCTTCTCCATCATCACTGTCCCTCCCGCCGCCTCAGACCCACAGACTCCAACCTCCTCACTCCCCTCAGGACTAAACACCGAACCCTGGGGGACTGAGCCTTCGCTGCAGCTGCCCCCACTCTCTGGAACTCACTCCCTCAACCAATCAGAAACTCAGACTCACTACAGAACTTTAATTCTCTTCTCAAAACCCACCTGTTTCAGCCTATCCTTAATTTTGTTTTCCAATGTTTATTTCTATGTGTTTTGTAAAGGGTCTTTGTGTGTCCAAAAGTTTGATGCATTATTATTATTATTATTATTATGATAGTAGCTGGAATCAAACACAGTTGAATGGAACTCCTCGAAACGACTAAAATCCTAGTCTGCGTTGATCACGAGTGGATGGGAAAAGGCCGGGTCTCTTGACAAATTGTAATCTTGAATCCTCAGCCTTTACACCCTTTTCTGCTTTTCCAGATGCGTCCAAGACAAATGTCCCCGAGGACTTTGACATCGACATGGACGACCCTGAGACGGCGAAGGCGGCTGTGGCCATCCAGTCGCAGTTCAGGAAGTTCCAGAAGAAGAAAACCGATAAGTCCTAGTTAGCGCCTCATGCTAACGTGAGCGGCCGCGATTGCATGTCCAGATCCACTCTGTTGGAACTCCGGGGGATTTTGGGGGCTTCGTGGGAGAGAATGCAATAGCCTGTGCAACATATGTCTGTGATTCCAACATTCTGTAATATGACTTTGTTTTCTATTCTATGTTTGTGCTCATTTGCAGTGTTCTAGCGCGCTAAGCTAACTGTGCCCATGTTGATTTGTCACAATAAGTCAAATCTTTAAACCCAATCTCAGTAAAACTTTTTAGCGTACACTTGTTGGCCCATTATTTTGTCCAACGCTAGATAACATTTGTATGATGCTAATTAGCATTTAGCCTAGCACTACGATATTATAGTTCTCCTTAGTACTGCAAACCAATCTTATATGAGGCATTTTTATCATATTATCATTAGGATCCAATCAAGGTTTAGTTGTTAATGGCTAGAAATAGTCAATGGATTATTCATAAACCTAAAAATAGCAACACAATAACAAAATGAGACAAAAACTAAAAAGCAGCCAATTGGATATGAATAAGTGTACTCTAAAAAAAAAATGTTAGCCATATTTCTGACCTATTTTTCCAGTTGTATTACGGTCTAGCTATTTTTTTTAATGCTAACTTATTTTATGCTAACATAATAAAGTAGCCTATATCAAGCTTACAATTAAAAATATATACATTTACATAAAGAAAACAAAATAAACCCATGACCATAACTGTACTCATGTTTTTTTGTTTGCTGTACCATTAAATAGTTTCTACACTGTGCTAATACGTGTCGAGATAGCGCTTCACCGTCCGTTCTCCACCGCACTTTCCCCGTTTTTCTATCCCGCATGATTCTAAAGCTGTGTGTCACTGACTGTACATTGAATAAATAAAAAGACAACGTGTGGAACTTGGTGTGCTCTGGATGGGAATGTAAAGAAAGTCTCTGAAGGCCCAGCGGTGCACAGGGAGGCTGCGGCGCGGAGCTCATGTATTCTGGGCACGGCCGCACTGGGACGTATAGCCTGATGACGGACTAAAAATAGTGAAGAGTCAGATGAGTCTATTCCCCGCTCGCCTCCTGACCTTCTGCGAGGAGGCTAAGCGGCCGGGGCCAGTGGAGATGCGCAACATAAGGTGTCTTAATGAGCATATGGGCACGTGGACTGGTTACAAGTGATAGAAGAAAGAAAAGCCCTGTTTCCACCAGTCCTTCTTGGCCCTACTCTACTCTGCTCAACTCGGCTCTACTCTGCCTACAGTAGTTGTGTTAGTATCTGTTACTGTATCCTTACAACATTATCTGTGGAGGTTCATTGGTAAATATTGCTTCCAGGAGCACTCTAACCAATCGCTATCAGTTATAACACTTTACCAGAACCAGGACCAAGAAGTTACTAAAAAAGTTGCTAGTACCTGTTAGAGGCTGGTGGAAATACTCCCTATCAGTGTAGAGTAGAGTAGGGCCAACTAGGGCTGGTGGAAACGGTGCCCAAGGTTTTGAAAATGAGACTTTCTGGAGTTTCAAAATGATTTAATCTTTCATCGCAGGGTTACATTCCAATCAGAATCCACAATAAGCAAGTCCTAGAAGTAGCAGCTGTGTGTGTTAAGTAAAACCTTGCACACAAAATACACTTTTCTAACCACCTGAACTCACAAACCACTTGTCTGAGTGCTGCTGTAGCTGTCAAAAGCCGTGCATACGCAGTAAATACAGCTGCTGATGACGCTGAGAGTCAGGAGCCGGACTGAAGACTACGGGAAGACCAGAGAGAAAGCCACAAAAGTGTTCTTACGTTTTTAAATAAAGCAAGTTTCATGTAATACTAGGGGTTTTTTGATGTTGTGAAGGTGTTGGAGGATTCAGACAGACAAAAAAGAAGAGAAAAAGCAAGACCGAAGAAGTGAAATACAACGAGGGACCGCTGTATCTACAAAGCTGGGAAAGCCTGTACACACACATGAATAAATACATGATAGATTTATGTGTCTGATATAAGCCCAATGACACACTTTGAGACAAATTCATATTTCCCAAAAGATTAGAATGAGACCAAATGGTGAACAGCGTGTCCTCAGCCGCGGTGGTGCAGACTGTGCTGGCAGACTGACCCGTGTTGACCTGGTCCAGATCAGACTGGGTCAGTGCTGCTGTGAAGAGGCACAGGCTCAGTGAGGGGGAGACTCTGGACCACCTCCCGGAGACGGAACATGCAGCATTGTGGCAAAGTAAGTCATTAGTTTAACACTATCCGGCCACAATGCAATTCAACAAGATTCACAAAATAAGAAACAATGCATTAGAATGACTAAAGAAACGTTTGCAACTTTAATCAGTGCAATGTTCTCTGTTGTATGCAGAGATAAAGAACTGTTTCAACCTGGATTTGAACATTGTCAGTTAGAAAGATTAAGAGATGGATAGATAGTTACGTAGATGGATGGATGGATAGATAGTGCTGGTTGATCACTTGACATGTTTCAATTGAAGACTTCCGCCTTTGAAAGGAAAAAGCAATACAGGAAAACCTCAAATATCTGACTGTAATAACTGCAAAAGAGAAAAAAGAACATCAGATCAGAAGATGATTACAAGAAGCGATTGGAATCAGGAAGTGGGGCACACAGACCATCAACAGAGACAAGGGGGCTCTCACCTTGCCTCACACTGGGACTCACTTCTGTTTGTCGGCTGATAAGAGATACGTCATACCATAACGAGTCAGCTCTGACGAAGGCGGAAGTTTACCTCTGAAAATGTCAGGTCATTAAAGGCTGTAGATTTGCAGTCCTCAGAGTAAGAATGGAAAAAAGATTATGTTTTGTTAGACCGTGGCAGCAAGAACGAAGAAGAAAAGAGAGTAGGGCCTAAAATGGAGCCCTGTTGAACACCACTAATGAGGGGCGCCAGACCAGATACACCTGGACCAGTTTAGGGCTGTACCTTCAAAGGATGACAATTGATGAAATACCAACTGATAAAAATCTATCCATCATTAAAGCATCCAGAAGGATCTTTGACCACGATCATGGATGCAACGGTTTCAACTGTGCTGAAGTTAAGTCTATTTCTCATATATTTCAATGAACACCACTATTGTATGAGTTATTTCAAATGAATGGCAATAAAAAACGAACCTACAGGAATTATGCATTTGATCCGCCGCACTTTCCTTAGACCTGCAGGCGACTTCCTGAGGTGAACCTTGTTTGTTTCCGCTGTAAATGAGCCAAACGTCCACAGAGAATGAGAGCGTCCCCACGTTCCCATGGCGACCGCACCATCACCGCTGCCACATCCTCCTGTTAACGTCACAGATATCCTTGTAACTCTGCCTTTTCGGAAACAACAAAAAAGTCGAAGCTTGATCCTATGGTGGTATATGCTGTGGGGCCAGAGTGTGTGTGTGTGTGTGTGTGTGTGTGTGTGTGTGTGTGTGTGTGTGTGTGTGTGTGTGTGACATATGCACACAACAACCTGCTCCTGCACAGTGGAGGAGCTGAGGAGGCGCTGCAGGTGGAAGGAGGAAATGGGGAATCAACCAAAGGCTCTGTCTCCAAATCCAGTGTCCTCCGTGAACAGAAGAAAGCACTGACCCGCACAGCAGCACCGGAGGTATAATAAAGTCATTATAATTACAATCACACCTTTGTTCCCACAATCTTCCTCCTGTGACCCATGTAGCTCCTTAAGCACTCATCACTGATGCAGACCACCTGCTGGGGTTCAGATAGAAACAGCACAAACTCTGTGTATTATGACTAATTATTTATCAGAGCAGGTTTCATTTAAATATGTGTGGTGCCTTTTTGTTTGTGAAATAATAAATGAAGATTTAAGGGTTTGATGAGGTCCAAAACTGAGGAGGTCAGGACTGCAGATCTACACATGTGCTGTGTTCTGTCCTTCTGCTGGAAAAGAATGATATTTACATCAAGTATTTAGTCAGCCACAGTTTGTGTAAAACCCAGTGTTGTTAGCCCAGGTTCAGGATTGTATTTGGTATTACCAAGATGTGTGTGTGTGTGCGTGTGTGTGTCATTTGAAATGAGGCAGAGGTGACATTTAACAATATTTATCACAAAAAAGACAATTGGTTAGGACAAAAAAACTGCATTAGGCTGCTCGGTAAAACAGACAGACAGACAGACAGACAGACAGACAGACAGACAGACAGACAGACAGACAGACAGAGACACACACACACAGACAGACAGACAGACAGACAGACAGACAGACAGACAGACAGACAGACACACACAGACAGACAGACAGACACAGACAGACACACACACACACACACACACACACACACCGACAGACAGACAGACAGACAGACAGACAGACACACACAGACAGACAGACAGACAGACACAGACAGACACACACACACAGACAGACAGACAGACACATGCACACACACAGACAGACACACACATGGGCGGCACGGTGGCTGAGTGGATAGCACTCCCGCCTCTCAGCAAGAAGGTCCTGGGTTCGAATCCCGGTTGGACCAGGGCCTTTCTGAGTGGAGTTTGCATGTTCTCCCCGTGTCTGCGTAGGTTTCCTCCGGGTGCTCCGGTTTCCCCTACCACTAAAAATATGTACAATAGGTCTGGCATGTGCCTCCTGTTCTGGCCCCACTCCCAAAAATTACAATTGTAAACCGCTTTGAGACTCCGATGTGCAGTGAAAAGGCGGTATATAAATAAAGATTACTTACTTACTTACTTACTTACACATGCACACAGACAGACACACACACACACACAGACAGACACACACACGCACACAGACAGACACACACACATATGCACACACACACACACAGACAGACACACACACGCACACAGACAGACACACACACACACACACATGCACACACACACAGACACACACACACACAGAGGGAAACTAAAGAAATGTGCAAGTGAGGGTGTGCAACAGTACCACAACACACGAGGAGTGAAGACGACCAAGAAATTGAAGAAAATAAGTATTTAGTCAAAAATAAAAGCCCATCTCAGTGCTTTGGGATGTCCCCTGATCTTACACCAGCCCTCACTGCTGTGGATCAAACACACTCACGCTTTCACACATGAGTGAGGATCTGTTAGACCGAGACCAGAACAGGATCACTGCTGTCCCCTGAGAGACAGTTGTGTTGGACTTGTAGAAAAATTGCAACATTTTGTCACAGAAAAACATTTAGCCAATAGGTTACGGTTAAATTCTAGTTTAAAATAAAATGGACTGCTGTCTTCTAAATAACTAAATACAGTAAGCAATGGAGTAAGTTGAGGTGGCTCGGGCATCTGTTCCGGATGCCTCCTGGACGCCTCCCTGGGGAGGTGTTCCGGGCACGTCCCACTGGGAGGAGGCCCCGGGGAAGACCTAGGACACGCTGGAGGGACTATGTCTCTCAGCTGGCCTGGGAGCGCCTTGGGGTCCCCCCGGACGAGCTGGAGGAAGTGTGTGCGGATAGGGAAGTCTGGGCGTCTCTGCTTAGACTGCTGCCCCCGCGACCCGGCAACGGATGAAGCGGAAGAAGATAGAATGGAATGGAATGGAGTAAGTAATGGAGAACCAAAAAGTTGCCAACCAGTGGCAACCAGTGAGTGACATCAGCCTCTCCCACCACCACCAACCACTTTCTAGGCACTGTGGGGGAAGTGTCTTGCCCATGGACACAATGACAGTTTGGCACTTTACAGCCGCAGCCGCCCCACTGTTGCACCTGGTGTTCCCAGGGGTCTCCCATCACAGTACTAACCATGCCTTGTCCTGCTTAGCTTCAGAGGCCTGACAGGATCTGGCTTTCACAAACAGTCCATATTTGATAAGTTCATGCTTATTATACCATTAATTATGTTTTAATGTATTTATATTTTGCAGTAAATTGTTGTTACTAATCATCTCACCTCAGGACTGGACCTTTGGAAACATCTGGACATGAATAAACTAGCAATAGCAGCTTGTACAGTCTCTCATAAATGCAAATACATTTATCTGTGTTGTAAACATTATCCTTTACTTCTGCCATTGCACTGGTGAGACGCTAAACTGTATTTTGTTGCATTGTTCTCACTTTGTAAAGACAATAAAGTTGAATCTAATCTAATCTAAAAGAACGAGTTCACGGACACAAGTGAGTTTCCTCTGAGTGCTCCTTCAGGGTGAGAGCTCGGAATAGAGCTGCGTCTCCTCCACGTCTGTGGGTTGAGGTGAGGGGGACGCCCCGGGGGAAGACCCAGAACAGGCTTCTCAGGAGTTTCTTGGTAGAGTTTGCTGGTTCTATGTCTGCAGGATGTGATACATTCATGTGATCTTCAACAGCTTCAGGTTTGAACCAGAGCGAGCGAGGTGTAAATGTGAAGCGCACTGTGACCCTGGTCTGTGAAAGGCGCTTTACAAAAAATATTTACTTACTTATGCTGCAGTGAGTCCAAATGCCCTGAGATAAAAAATTCAAATCAATTCAACCTATTTGTGTTTAGTCCTAAATCACAGCATTCATCCCCAACAACAGATCAGAGACTTTCACAAACTCAGGAAATGGAATAATAACAATCACAGAGGAGCCATGGGTCCTTAGAAAGTGGGAGTCTGTCTAAAAATGGTAATAAATCTGTATAATACCTAGCATACCGCGGACTGGCAACTGATTATATCCATCGCCTTTGAGTTGCTGCCCCGCACACATCAACAATGTGGCGAAAACGGGCAACTCCTAGTTTCAGGCCAGTCTCGGGAATAACAGCGCGTACATCGACAGCATCTGGCCTCAACTACAGTGTGTTTTCTGACATAAACTGTAGAGGGCGCAATACGTCGCATGATAACACTCTCGACACATGTTGTTGGAGCGCGCACATCGGGTGATATCTCCGGATCTGAGGACAACAAGTTGCCGAAAAGTAGAACACTGTCAAAAGGCATTAATAAAACATGTTCTTTTCCAATACGTTAACTGATAACAGTAGTTCAGAGATATTTGGATTTCAATTACTTTTCCAGCCTCTAAATCTGGAAAAGTAATTTTCCGCCCTCCACCGTTTCACCAATCAGAAAGTCTGTGATCCGGGCGCCAGAACTCACCGCGTGGAGCTAATCTCACTGGTAAAGTACCATGTGGCGCAGAACTAAAAAAGGTCTTGTTATGATTCTCAAATCATTAAAAAGTTTTGCCGATTGATTTGTTATTGAGAAAACTCTTGTCTATTCAGTTATTACGGTCCCAGCTGGATTCGTCTGCATATGCAACCTGAGTCAGGGAGAGTGGGAGAGGCTGCAGTACCACTTTTGGCCAGATTTCTTTACATACTGCTTCTTTAATTCATTGGAATATGTTTTTGTGTAACTTGTATTGTATCATGAACATGTATTGGGCACACATGTTTTTTCAACTTCTGCCCTAATAGTCAATTAACTGGAACTGGATCTAAGTGAAAAAACATTGCTTTCCCGGTGACGGATGTGCGAGTGCGGAGCTTTGTTGACGGACTCCTCCATCACAAACTGCAGCAGGTCTAAGTCTACAACATGATGCATGATGTAACAAGCTGCAACCATCTCTCATGTTAATCCACTTCCCCTTCCTCCCAGACGACCAAATATGGGCTGATTTGAAAGCTCCAGGAGGAGATGGCGCCACGCTCAACCTCTCCATAACTTTATTTTTAACTTAGAATCTGTGATGGACTCAGGGACAGAATAACATTGAAGTCTTCTGCAGCATTTTAAGTAAAAGTGAAACATATAGGCCGCATTTAGGCTTCACTGTCACCTACAGCTGATGGAACAAAAACATTAGTTTATCAATGTGTGAGAAGAGAGAAACTCCAGCTTGCTTGTCAGCCTCATTGATCTATTGATAAAATTTGGAACGGGTATTACTAGCTTAGAGCTGAAGGACCCACGTACTCAGGGGAATGTCCCGGCACTGCAGACTAAACTAAATTCACGTGGGCTACTCAGATATGTTCTCCAATGACCTCAATGTAAACTACAACAGCTCGACCTCAGCTGACAGAGAACCTGACAGAGAACCTTCAGCTTTTATAAAAGAGGATTTTGTGGGGATTTTAGTGTCCCTTGTCAACTTGAACTTTTTTCATGTTAAATCCTTCAGTTTTCTATAAAAACACATATTACTGCCACAAACTCTGCTCTATCGTCTCACGCTCTGACTCCGCTCTGATCAGCAGCTCTGATTGGTCGGAGTGTGGCCGGGCTCCTCTGTGCATGTGCATGAGAGCCACACACGTGTATTTGACACAAAGCATCATGGGAGCTCGTCCACTGAGCAGAACTGGGAGGACCAGACGATGCCCAAATATGGGCGAGTTCCTCTAATCTCTTGGCCCCGTGGCGGCACATCCACCAATGAGCACAAGCCATAGATTTAAATACGGCGCCATCTTGGATCGCAGGGGCTTGGTCTGCTCCGGCGTCCTCCGCATTCAGCCAACACCATCACACTCGGTCAGTCCACTCCTGAAACACAGACGATGGTCCAGACCACAGAACAGACAGTTACAATTATCTAACTTTGAAGAAATAAAACTGTAAAAACGTTCTCAAAGTCAGTGAAAC